CAGTCTACAGCAACAACTTCTACCTTCACAAAGTACGGATTTTCCTGACAAATGAAATTATCTGTTCATTTTTAACTGCACGGAAGCTTCTTCATTGATAATGCAGCTCAACTCAAAAAGCTATGCACCCCAAAAAACGCAAGTGAAAGCAACTCAACTTATTATCGGGAACGACACAAACACAGAATAATCCTGTGACAGCATTTCAAGATTCATGGAAAAGGGCTGACGGCTGCGTAAGTTTCACAGCATCGTAATTACCCTCGAGGTTTCGAACCGGAAAGACCTGGCCCATTTTTTAAGTACCATTGCATTGAAGGTAATGTTGCAAAATGTAGTTACTGACGGATGTTGAAAAACGAGCGCTGAATGTGACAGAGAAAGCGATGAAGCAAAAGATTCTTGGCGCGTCTCTTATAAACAACTAGAGTCTCATGAGCGCCGTGCAGGTTCTTATTACGACCAAGTGAAAAATTAAATTCCACTGAGCTAGACACGCTGCTCGTTTTGCCGGCAAACGGCGGACAACCTGCATTAGTAAATGATACCAGGAGAAAGCAAAGGACGACTTGGACGACTTCCAGAGAGGGATTTCACACGGTTTATATCGAATGAACGATGGGCTATGTGGAAAAGATAATGTCTGAGAGCCCCACGTTGATTTTGGACAAAATCACTTCAATAATTGTTCAGCAAAATTCACCTCGACATTCCTTACTCTGTACAAGCAGTCGCCAATATTCACGTTCGTTGCCCATTCAGCTTCATCTTCTATCGTTTCAAAATCCACTTTTTGCTCAAGTACTGTAAAAAACGACTTTTCTGACTTACTGAATCTATACTAATTTTTTTTGCGACTAGCCGCTTCACGGGACAGTGAAATATTTGCATTACTTTGTAAACTCAGCTATGAACTCCAGTGTATGTAACAACATGAAAATTTGCAGCAAAATTAAACTGCCCCACTCCTCTTTTCTTTTTCAGTATCGCCAAAAATGAGAGAAAAGGAAGCTGCTAGCAAGATGCACAAAACAAGCACCGTCAACAAGCCAAGGGCCCATTCCAGGGGCAAATGAGTGAAGAAACCATACGATTATCACATGTTGTTTTGTAGATGTAATGCTTTGCAGTGAGCTTCAGCTGACTGCCGTCTTTCAAGATGATACGATAGAAATTCACTTCTTTGTCTGGCAGTCTGTGCAGCCAGGATGTTATTTGTGCAAATGTTATCTGGAAAAAACGCCTCACCAATTTGTGGAAAAAATATGTGGGGAACTCTTTAATATGACAGTTCGGATAATGATTTTGTTGCGACGTTTTCAGTTCTGAATTTTTCTTCCTATGCAAGAAATCAGTTTGGAAAGTATTTAAGTTTTAGTCAAAAGTACGAGAACAAAGTGAAGATGCAAATACACAGCACCGCACACTAGGCGCTTCAAATGGTTATTCGCTCCTCCAGTAAACTGCTGCGCGTTCGCTTTACAGGAGAAGAGAAAATGCTCAGAAATCAAAATGCGAGCCAGCCAAAAACTGTTTTCACTTTGGTATATTCACCGCATGAAATGAAACAAGTTTCCTGTTTATGGTCCGCATTTATTCTGGCTTTACAACGGGAGACTGTTTCTGAACAAGGCCTGGGATGATATCCGAAAGGCAGTATGAGCTTGAAATCTTGTTTCGAGTCACATTTGACTTTATTTAACTAAAATATCATTCCACACAGTGTTTCAAACCCGAAAATTTCTGAGACTGCACCAGTGCCTTGTCGAAAATATGAATCTAGGACTGAGGTTAAACGTCAGAGCGCAGCGATATGACGCTAGAATTGGTCACTGTTACGGGTAGCGTGTTGCTATCATTGCTCTAATATTGCCACTGATAGTTTACAAAACTGAGTTAAAATTGCAGTTTTTCGCTTTGGTGCTACCGACGCCGATTGGATGTTCTGAGAATCTGTGTCATTTATGTTTCCCACCGCAATGTTTTGTGAAAAAAATTTCGGAATTTTGAGTCGTGGTTTGTTCGGATTTTTTTTTTTTGCTCTTAATATATACAAAAATTTGCGCTTGAGGCCATAGCCTAGAACGGATAAAGAAACATGCGTTGCTTTCAGATTTCTTCCCACGTATAGCTACCACAGATTCAAGTTCACACAGACTTCATAGTTTTGGAACATAATCCGATACATATAGTTAAGGCTTTGCTCCCAGTGTTTCAGATCATTGAGTTTATCAGCTTTTCGATTTGACAAAAAAACGACAAATGAACTGCAGGAGTCTTCTGATAGATTACCTCATTCTTGTATTTGGTCATAACCCATTCGGATGAATTTAAGTGCTGCAGCTGAATTTCTCTTCCGTCGTATGTTCGGACAGTGGTATCGCCTGAGAAGCAGTTCGAACCACCTCTGCCTGCAGTACATTAAATTCCACATTTATTTGTCAAATAAAGTACCCAAATAACCAGTACAAGAGCGATTTTACACAAGACATTAGAACTGTTTTCCTTTCTTCAGGAGTTGTTGCAATGACTCGAATATGGAAGTTCACTTATTCATTTGGAAGACAACTACACTTATTCATTTTGCTTCAGATGCTTAACTTGAAGTTTAAAATTCCAATTTTTTAAATTCCCTTTTAAATTTATAAAACCGATGGGCCCAAGTTGCCAGAGCAGAAACAAACGCCTGATTTTTCCTGTTCTCGAATTAATAACTTTTCTGCTAACTCGAGAGCGAGAAAAGCTGCCACACGTGACACAGATACGCGCGAAAGTTGATAACGCGTTTGTGGGACCGAACATAGCCAGGGAACAAAGTGGCAAAATTCCAGTATCTAATCTTGCTTGGCTGTTGAACTAAAATACCCCGACGTGCACACAGACGTGGTTAGGCACACCACTGTTCACCGCAGTATGCGTTTTTGCTGACTGTTGCAATGCTGTGGTGCCGTGGGAATAAAACCCTACAATATGATCAGGTTTTACCGTAAGCAGGAAAAACGGGTTCCGCGCTTCCAACAGAGCCTGTTCCCAGCGCAGTAGATGGCGTATCGCTTGGTGCATCAAGTGCATTAGGAGCAGAGTCTGAAAATCGACTACTGTTATCCTTATTCCTCTTACCCGCTTTTTTTTATTGAAAAGACGTCTGTGCATTCGAAAACCAAAACTATCTCCGCATTCAATCTTACGAGAAGTAGAGTCACTCATTAAGTAGCCAGAATAGAAGCAATGCCAGAGCAAACAACTCCTGACAGGAAGCTGCCGATGGTTGCTTAGGAGCAAGCTGGTAGCGGATTTGACTCCGAACATATGCCAATCCCTTAATCACAGGAGCGAATGGACAAATTGTAGAAAGTTGGTAGTTTTGGTGGCGAAATCGAAACCACGAACTATTTTTCGATAACAGTGATACGTAGCACTGCGTCATGTCCGCCTGCTTATGTATCAGTTTTCAATCAAAGAAAAAATAATTTTTTAAGTTTGAAAATCTTCCTTACTGCAATTTCTCGATGAGCCAAACTACGCGGATAACCATGGGAAAAAAGCTCGAGAATTAAATGAACATTACCAACGAATGACTGCTGAGGCGGTGGAACTGGTTGCACCTGCTGGGGCGCCACTGTTACTTGCTGTAGTGGAATTGGTTCAGCTTCTTCGATTGGCACCTGAAATAAAAACAGCTGCACTTTGATACAGTCATGATTAAGCGGAGCAGTTTTTTCAGCCCGAATCCTCGGATAATTGGATTTTTACCTGGAAAGCGGTTGCCCGAGCAGCCTTATTAGGTGCAACAATCTCA